AGCGATAAATGATTCGAGAATAATTGCACATGCGCGTGGGAATTGAATGAACTTATGACCCGTACATCTCGATATGCATATTGTCAATCAAAGGGTCCTGTTATTTGCTTTACTCATGCAAATTAGGCAATTGGACATAAACATTGACACGTGCGAGTGTTTTTTATTTTTAACCAGAAAATAAACAGCAATTTTAATGGTGTTCCAATAAGAATTCATTGGTCAAATTTTCACAGAATGTTCTTTAGATAAAAATCTATATAAAAAACGAAAAAAACTATTTTTGATTGAAATTCACTAATAAACTGCATCTCTACCTTAAAAATTGCTATTTTTAGAACAATTTCATAGAACACAATGTTAAAGAAAAATTGCATTTTTAGCTCCGTTGTAGACTTTGTTGAGCGGAGCTTATCATATGAGTGATTGTCCGTCGTCGTCCGTGTCAATGTTTTACTTTTTCAACTGCTTCTTGAAAACTACAAGCCTGAATGCTTTGATACTTGGTGTATATGTACCTTGGGTAGACCTCTCTCAGATTTGTTCATTTCATGATCATATCTTCAATTCTCTAATTTTGGTGAATATTTTTGTCATTTTTGGTAAAAAGTGTTATTTTCGACTTGTTAAAAACTGCAAGTCCAATTGCTTTGATATTACATATATAGGTACTACATGTGGACCTCGCTCAGATTTGTTCATTTCATGATCATATCTTCAATTCTCTAATTTTGGTGAATATTTTTGTCATTTTTGATAAAAAGTGATATTTTCAACTTCTTGTTAAAAACCGCAAGTCCAATTGCTTTGATATTACATATGTAGGTACTACATGTGGACCTCTCTCAGATTTGTTCATTTTGTAATGATATCTTTAATTCTCTAATTTTGGTGAATATTTTTGTCATTTTTGGTAAAAAGTGATATTTTCAACTTCTTGTTAAAAACCCCAAGTCCAATTGCTTTGATATTACATATATAGGTACTACATGTGGTCCACTCTAAAATTTTTTCATTTCATGATGATATCTTTAATTTTTAGCTCCGCTGTCGACTTTGTCGAGCGGAGCTTATCATATGAGTGATTGTCCGTCGTCCGTGTCAATGTTTTACTTTTTCGACTTCTTCTTGAAAACTACAAGCCTGAATGCTTTGATACTTGGTGTATATGTACCTTGGGTAGACCTCTCTCAGATTTGTTCATTTCATGATGATATCTTCAATTCTCTAATTTTGGTGAATATTTTTGTCATTTTTGGTAAAAAGTGATATTTTCGACTTCTTGTTGAAAACCGCAAGTCCAATTGCTTTGATATTTACATATATAGGTACTACATGTCGACCTCTCTCAGATTTGTTCATTTTGTAATGATATCTTCAATTTTCTAATTTTGGTGAATATTTTTGTAATTTTTGGTAAAAAGTGATATTTTCGACCTCTTGTTGAAAACCGCAAGTCCAATTGCTTTGA